CAGAGATGTTGGTTTCAGTAAACACATGAAAGGTAACTTATCAAATATACTTTCCGATTTTCCTACGTGAAAGATTTGTAACTGAATATACGAAATTTGGTTCACCGAAATTCACTCAGTCATTAGCCAATAAATATATGAGATTATCATTTTCAATAAAAGCGCTTCTTACATGGAACAAACATATATTAATTATTTGCCCCAACATAACGAAGAAATATTGCAGACATTGTACAGACACCTCACAACGAAGGCGTGTAATTTATGGTTCTTTGTGCTGCATTCTTGCCCTCACCTGCGTATTTTTATCCTGATCAATGATTCGATTTTATTACAATGATAAATATCTCTAAGATTTAATTTTCGTGAAGTATATTAAAATAAAAATATTTATAGACATAATTACACGTCGTATTATCTTTGAAATATCTCTTTTAGGTTTTTTTAGGAAAAATGTATATAATACTAACATCCTAGCCGCACAAATAACCAACATTCAAAAAACTATTCAAGAAAAGGTAGCCTGTCTCGGAAGTCTATATAAAAAACCAAGATATCGTTTAATTCATATCAATAATGGTACCCATCAATAATCTCAATAATTTTTCAATAATCATTCATCACTCCCTCAAAACAAAATAATTTCTCGTTACTTAAATTATGGCCGGGCCGTTAAGTCGTAGCTAATTGTAAGCGCCCGCATAGTCAAACCATGACTAAAATTCTAATAAAGATACAAACATAATCAAAGAAGTAACAATATTGAACATTCAAAAATTACGGACTTTGTATCAATTACTACCAAAGAGGTTAAGTATATACAGCAAATTGTTTATTTATACTGAACAAAAAATATTGTTTTAATTCTGAGATATCGGATTTATGGGTTATGCCCGCTCAATTTATATCGCTTTAGATAGCAAACTAATAAAAAACTTGAGGGAATTATACAACATCTATCACTATACATTTATTCTAGAAAAATCTTAGTTTCTCGCATACCGGATGCCTGCTAAGAATCTACAAACACCACAAATATTATACGCAGTCGTTGGCGTTAGCTAGTAAAACACGTAACACGGAACGGTAAGTGTATAATATATTTTCCACTAGATAATTATTTTTAGCCGGCGATGCTAGTCTTTAGAGTACACATTGTCTTACGTATATTTTTTTACTTCAGCAACTGCCAAAACTTCGTGAGACAAGAATATTTAGCAAAATGCTTATTTTCAAGTCATAAAAGATTATGATACATTATATTTTTACTACAATTTTTTAAAAATCATGTCAACCAATTAGTAAGCATTCGATCATATCCTGGACCTACCTTTTAATTAGTCCAATTCAGGGCCTAATGATTCTGGCTCGTGGTTTCCTGGTGGAGTCCTTTGCAACGTTCAATCATCGCTATTTTGACAATGTCCATGACCTGTGTTTTGACAATGAACGACCATGGGCGGTGAGTATCACTTAAAATCAGGTGTTAAAAAAGTTATACACAAATACTATTAGTTTCATACAACACAACAGTTCTGTGTGTTTTACAGGTTTATGATTTAAGAGTACATTTTTTATCTTTCTGATATATGTATAATACAAACACATTGCGGTATCTGTCTAGTTTGTTATGAAATGTAATCAACGCGGTGTATCTAGAATATCTAGGTAAACCGCAAGCTGTGACCTCCTTGATGGTATGCAATTTTTATTAGTATATTGTTTTATCTATTATTATAATATATTATAATAAAATATCCAATTTATATATTATATTTTGTTAAGTACAGAACTATAATTTTTTTATGTAACCCTATGTAGCAGATAGGCTTAGAGCGCTGTTTAATAATTAAAGATCGCGTTTTCAACGCATTGTACAGATACCGGCAAACATCTTGAACAAATGTCCTTGCCTGCCCAGAAGCGATTTTTAAGTATCACTGGGCGGCGGGCGGTGGTGCGCGGCAGCGGGAGAGGGACGTGTCGATCGCGTGATTGGTAAATTAGTTGACATTTATGTCCCAGATGCGCAAACTTTCCCCCACCTCCCTTGTTTAATGCTCAAGAAGTTTGCCGGTATCTGTATACTTATATTTTCATTTCTATATATTAGGGTAATCGTGCGTTCGAATAAAATAAAAATTCAAATCGTAAGTTTTTATTAATGTCCAATGCCTAAGTATCGCTAATATTTACAAAATAATCTAAATGCGAAGGAATGTATGGAAAAATAAAGCTACAAAATGTAATGATTTGTGCTATGTTCCTAACTCACAAAGACGTTTTAAATAAAAATCTATGAAGTACGTATTATGTAGTTTAATTTTATAAATAATCATATACTCTAGATCCATCTTAAACACGCCACAGATTAGATAAATAAGTTCAAAAGGAAATGCAGGCACAGCGTATAGTATAATTAAACGATCATACTTATTAGATATTGTGCTTAAAATGGCACTGCCAAAGACACTTCGAACTCAATATTCAAAAGCCCCTTCCAACCTTATTTATCTATTTCACAGAACACACACATTGATCAAAAAAGTATACAATTATATGAATAACCTTTTTTTTAGATTCACTTATGTTCTATAAATAAATAGATAATCAACTCTGCTTTGAAAGAGATTTAGCTTTAGTCTCCAGTAAAACCTTTGTAGGTGGAAAAGTTGCCTTGTTACAACCTATGCTATGCTACATATATAGAAAAATTGGTGGGCACATGATATAGTTTTAATATCGAAATCTACATTTAAATCAATTTCATGTCTCAAGCAAGAAGACTTTAATACATTTGTATCGAGCCTCGAATTGAAACCTTCGGGGGTTTTGGTTCGATTCTAAATAACCAAAAATATATTTGTATGCAATTTATATAAATATTGATTGTGAGTACTATAAATATAATTAGATTGTTACAATTAATTAGGAGAGAATACAAATATTTGTACAATTCAAATAAAGAAAAATCTAAAGCAAGAAATATCCAGTCACTACATTCGAGTTTTATTTAAGCTTTCTTTAAAACTTGCACAAACTAAAGGCAAAATTAGCATGTTTAAATAGATTTTGAGCTGCGCGAACGAGATCTCTTGTAACGCATATTTAAATTTCCGATATGCAGGTCCAAGTATTGGGATCGATACAGAGGTCTAAAGTATTCCTGTTCAAGATTACTAAAATAAATATCTACTTACGACTAGACAGGTACTAAACATCAAATACTTCCATTGGTTATAAATGTCTCTTATCAGTTGAAGTGAGATTGACATATTTGTGCAATAATGACTTCTTATCACCCAAGTAGTTGATCAGTGATTCTCAACTCACTTTCTTGAGTGAAGTGCAATGTTTTATCTATCCCATCTATCGCGCCTCGGATAATTACGAGCAAAATGATTTTTCATACAAATAATTTTGTCAACCTTGGAGCTACTGATGGATTAATAGCCGATTTAACTTTTTTCGTTATAGGCGAGTTTTATCTTCGTTGACAATTTCCTAAGCTAAAACTCTCAACCTTTTTCCTGAAATATAAGTTCGCTAATCATCACTGAACAACTGAGAATTCTTAGGTGATATTTCAACTCTCAAATCTTTAGAGCATGTCAATAGTTAGTAAGCTGTTGAAACTAGAATAAAGTATGTAAGTATAGAATATGGGCCTCTAATCTAGTATTACTAGTTACTAAAAGGCCACTCACTAAACTCGGCTAACACTTAACATTATTATGATTTACTACGTCAGAACTTTTCAGATTTTTTGCCTTGTACAATCTTTATATTAGATGAAAAGTCCCTTTCGTGAGTGTTCCTCGCACGGTTAAAAGTTTTATTATTACTTTCCAATGTTGCTAGTGTTAATTCAAAAGCTAATTGAGGTATAGACCTTTTGGAATAACCTTTGTTTGTGAGCCAACAATCGACTATAAAGCTTTATTTCCTCAGCCATGAAAAAACTACAGTTAATTTGAATTCTCATCGATTGGGTTGGCGTCTGTATGGTTTTATATACGTATATATGTAATATTTGTATAAACACAGTTTTGCGTCGCCTGCTATATGTTATTTATAATATAAATGTGATGTATTTGTTTGTTAAAGCAATTGAACCTAATTAATTTGTAATTACAAATATTTAGTCAAATCACTGGTTTTTTTTTCAATATTCTTTATATGACGCACTATACTAATTACTAATGTTCATCAACCTCATAAAAGCTAATAATTAAAAATATTTTTACAACTTTTTTGTCACTAATTTTAATTCGCCAATTTATACAATACGATTATATACATTTATTATTTAAGCTAATTGTTATTGTCGTCTAAAAGCTACCTTTATCGAGTTAAGAGCAATAGGAGTTATTTAATTATAACAGCGTCAATGTCAGAGATGACGAATGAAGTTTCTTAATGGATAAAGACTCGACCATGTACCATGGTTGGTATGAACCATACACATAATCGGTTTTAAAAAAAAATATATGTCGGTGTTTCAGACGTATGTACATTTTGATAGGACTTTGCATATAAAATCATTATTTTACATAATAGAAATATATGTCAATACTATCATGTTGAAAGGTTGTATATCAATTAATGAGATGTTAAGAATATTTTTCTTCATTTAAATATTTAACCCCTCATTCATAAATACGTAAATAAAGTCTAATTGCATCGTAATAAGAAAAAAACTCATTGTCTCTTTCCATCACACCGTACATTCATTTGCCAGAAAGTGACGAAATATTTGTATAGTTAAGCGTGCAATTACTGCTTCAGTTTTTATAAGCAAGTCTATTTTACATATAATGTGGACATAGTCACATATTTAATACCTCAAATGAGCAAAGTTCTTAATAGATTGACTTATTTGCCAAAATACGACTAAAATGTCAAATTTGTAATATTTACGTTATTTCTTAAAACACACATTATGCACACATACACAAAGTTCCATAGTCAAAAGCCCACAGGCTTTACACAGCCTCTGGTTACGGCACTACCACTCTAGGCTCGTGGGACAGAAGCCGCCGGACAGCTTGGTGGTTGTTCCCGTCACTGCTCGATATGTCGCTGGTACTCACCACAGCCGGTTGGGAGAAGTTCTTGCATAGCACAAGCACCTATGGAAAATTAATCTAATGTTTATTCGAAGTGTAAAAAGTTAATGTTCTACTATGTTACGTTACTTGAGATTCATTTTAAATTAAAAAAAACTGTTTTGTCGTTAAATAAGTTTCGATATGTATTAGTGCGCAGAGGTGATGAGAACTTGGAGTAACTGATCGTGGTTGGTAACACAGAAGGAAAAAGATCACGTGGCCGTTCACAAACTAAATGGTCCGACCAAGTGAAAGACTCATCGTCCCCAAAATTGTACACTGTCATAAGAGACGCGCTGGACCGAAACAGGTGGAAGCAGATAGTCCGCTCCAGACGCTTTCTTGCTGACCACGACGTTCAGACATGAGCTGCCGATTAAAGGGGGGGATGTATTAGTACTTCAAATTTAGTAACTTATCCTTATATATATAAATATTCTGTGTGTGTATTTCTTAGAATTAATTAATTACTTTTTACGTTAAAAATCAATTGACTCGAAATGTGAATTTTTTTTTCGAATATGATAATGTCAAGAACAATTCACTTTATACAATTATTTATATATGTATTTATATATACAAACGCAATATAGAATTATAGCTAAAAAGGTACTGAGAGTATTTGTGATTAAACTTATCGTAAACATCTGGATCGATTTTGTGTCTTCAAGTGGATTCGAGAATGGTTCAGATTGACAAATTTTACATTTTTTAAGTTTAATATTTTTGTAACTAAGACGTGCTTAACGACGTCTGCGGGCCCGCTAGTGTTAATTTTAAAATAAATAATGTCGGTATTTTCAACACAGTTTTATTTGCTAAACAAAAAGACATTTACATAAATATTATAGTAATAAAGCCTAAAAAGGTTCTATATAAAATCGGAAACAAATAATAACAATATCAAAAATTATGAATCAATATGAATTAAACGTGATTATGTAACGAATAGTCGAAAGAGAAATGGATTATTAAATTACAGACCATTACACTTTGTTTTTATGGGAACAATTCATCGAATGCTGTGAATTACTTTAGATAAATGTTTCTAGGAAACTTTCGTTTCTACAATTACTCAACTTGAATAGCCTAGCATAATATAAATTTATTGGTCTATGTTTTATCATTTAAGTTTCGGTTCGGTTTTTTTGTAAGTTTTCCCTTATTAAAATTGATTTATCTATTTAGACTTGTTTTCGGACAGGTTTCTTTTTAATTCGTATATTGTTGAATTTTTTGGACAATTAAAATAGCATATGTTTTCTATATTATGTTATATCAAAGTTTCTCTTTGGAAATTAAATATAAGAAAATGTCGTTTTTCATTTAGTATGATTGGTCATTTATATTCTCGTATATGTAGACTCGTCATTTATATGTTCGCAGAGTTAGTTCACAGTAGCGATAATGTGTATCCTATGTATTAAATATTATTTTTATTTTCGACATTATCTTAATACTGGCTACATATCTTTGTGCTGTAAGGATAGTTTATGTATTTTTGTAAATAAATAAATGTAATTATAATAATATTATCGGCAAACTTACAGTATACAAAACACTGCAGAAACCCATAACAGCACCAGCAAGTACGTCCCACCAATGGTGTCTTCGGTCGGTGATCCTCGTAAGAGGGCAGATAACCGCGTAAATGATGCATAGGATCTGAACTAGAGGAACTATGAGGACAGATCGGTTATGCCAGCTGAATGCTCGCCGCTGGAGATACCACTGAAAAATAAATTAAATATTATGGTAAACAGACCCAAAACATGATGCATAACTCCTGTTCTACGTAGCTATGTGATAAGAGGATATTGATTTTAAATAGTTAATTTTACTTTAAGTTCTTAACAATCATTAATACTACTACTGGTGTCTTACTGGATCACGTAGGACAACATTCTTATACATATTGACATTTTTTTATCTAAGTTAAACAGTTATGTATACGAACAATATGCCATATATGCCATGTACAAACATAAAATAATTTAGTAAAACGTCAAATTCCTTTATTGGTATTATTTATATAATTCAAATATATAAATAAATAAACATACTACGCCCATTTAAATATCAATAAAGATGTAATTGCAACTATCAAGCTAATTCCACCTTCCTTCTTCAGTTATAATTGTGGGGGACAATCAATTTGGGTCCCCTTTTAGGGCGGATGATTGCGCAACTCTTGAGTACGTAATTATAGGGAAAATTGCAACGCAATAGCTGGGGTCGTCTTGAACGGATATCCGGGGCTAAGGACCGTTGAACGAAGACCATTATAAAGACAATTCTAGTACATAGAATAACGTAGCTAAATAACGTAGATGATGTGTTAAGGAATGTAGAGAGAGGTAATTTTTTTTTTGCTTCAATAAGTTTGTATTTTGTCTAACGTTTAATAGAGAACGAAACGAAATTAATAATTTAAAAATAGTTTTTATATATTTATATATAGAATATATCTGCCACGCCAGTATTTTTGATATTACTTATTTCAATTGCGATTAATATGGCTGAATTAAATTGTTACTAAACATTTAAGGATTTTAAAAGATGAAAACACGCAATGATATTGATATTACTGGTGCAAATATAATTGTGTGATAAGGCTCAATGAGACTAACAATATTAATAAATTCTGAAACAAAACCGTTTGCTAGAAAATGTGGGTTTCAAAGAGGGAGAGAGTTTCCTCAGAGTTGACAAAAGGCGCTTAGGCTTTCACGATTTACAATTTTTACTGCATAACTAGTTAAAAATTGTTACGCTCTTTTCTTAAATCGTTTAATTTGATTATCTTACCGCTAAGAATAACCCGCAGTACACGGCGAGGGATGTGTGGGCTGAAGGGAAGCTTCTGCTGGCATCTATCTGCAGGTACCTGGAGTACCTCGTCGATGTGCAGGTGTAACTCGTCACGTACTCCGACCTGTTGATTGATAATAACTCTTTGGATTAAAGATACACAACAACAAATTCTATGAAGCAATACATTGCACTTTATAATTTTTTGTGTCTCAGATCACAAAAGTTACTGTCAAGTGGAAGTCAACCTGTTGGTTGACTTCCAGTAACCAACAGGTTGACTTCTCTTCTGTCTAATGCCTTCTCTTCTGTTGAACAGAACAGAAGGCATTATGTTCTGTTGATCATAATGCCTGTGAAGTTTGCATTTGTAAAATTACGCAGCATTAGCAGAAAACTACAAAAACCATTATTATTTTGAGAATTAATTGGTATTATAAAGGATTACTTACTCATTACAAGTGCTGGCCTTATCCGGTTCACACAGATCGAAGAAGGTGGGCCTCGGTGAGCCCACTACGCACTTCACTATTTCCATAATAGTCAAATTCACTATTGCCCCGTATATGTAGTCGCGGTACATTAGAGCCGCAATTTGCGCACTCTCAGATAGCTTGCTCTTCTTAAGCGTGTACTCATCGTCTCTGTGTAATGCAGCTTCAACTGCCCACATCTGGAACAAATAATATAATAATAACACTTTATTTACCTCAAAATAACACAAAACAGGAGGAAATTATGACTAAATAAATGAAGACAATATGTAAATGGGTGGTATTACTGGTATAAGTTTCGTCCTGACAGCCCAAACATAAATAATATAAACATTTAAATTATACCGAATCTAAAACTACACTAAACTACTCAATATAAAAATACATATATATATATATATATATATATATATATAGGTGATATATCATATAAGTTTACCTATATGTAATATAATTCTCATGCTAGATAGATATTGTATATTCCTGGGTACGAGGAATAAAATATGTTATTGCGAATTTCCTAAGAAAAAAATAAGGTTTTAACACTCCGTGCATGGGATTAATACATAAAACTATTGGTTACGCTTTGTCTCTCTCTCCAGTTGTATCGGAGTATGAGTTATGGAACAGAGAATGAATATGTGTGTTATATGAACACTCTCCACTAAGTTTTAATAGAGATTGGGGGCTTTGGGCGAGAGAGCCTGGAGAAATTATCTTTCTTGTGATGCTCCCGTCGTATCGGTATCCTCTTCATTGGAGTACGAATGATGAAACAGATGAATGTGAACTATATGAACGTTCTCCACTAAGTCCCCAACCACCTCAAGAACATGCCAAGTTTACAAGGCCAATAAATAAAAGCGATTTTATCGGGACGTCTCGATAAAAACTACGTGCAAAATCACTGGAATGTTGCATCGTAATGCAGCTGGTGTGTTTATCTTTACAACGAAGTTCTATCGTCAATTTTTCGCCGTAATCTCTACATTAGTTACATAGTTGTAGAATTACATTTTCAATTATTATTGTCATAACTGTCACACAGGCGCCGGTAATTTTATTATTTATGCCGAATACGATCATATAAAAATAAAATCCTTTTTAGGTATGGGCTTCAGATTTCTGTATCTGTTTCATGATAATTTGTCAATCTGATAGGAAAGTAGGTGATCAGCCTCCTGTGCCTGACACACGCCGTCGACTTTTTGGGTCTAAGGCAAGCCGGTTTTCTCACGATGTTTTCCTTAACCGTTCGAGCGAATGTTAAATGCGCACATAGAAAGTCCATTGGTGCACAGCTGCGGATCGAACCTACGACCGCAGGATGAGAGTCGCACGCTGAAGCCACTAGACCAACACTACTCATATACACAAGTTTTTAACGTGACCAAATCTCTTATTATTTTGTACTATCAATTAAATATTTGTGGGACAGCGCAACCCTGTCCAGAACCCATGAGGAGGTGACTACACTTATTGCCCTTGGATCAACCCATATTGAAAAATAGCTTAAATATCTGTTTAATACGGTTGGCTAAAACGTATTAAAAACAAAAGATAAATAATTCATATAATCGTCGAAAATTAAATTAAATAAGGCATGATTTAATGGATTACTTTATCACAGTACAAATTTAACTAGACTAAAAATAATACAGTGTTATTTAAGATAATAGACTGCAGCTAATGATTAAATAGGTCAGTGCACTGTCATTAAGATAAAAATAGTTTTGTTTATATTACGTTTTATGAATATGTAAATATATGTGTACGTTGCCAATGTATAAAGTTGGTGAGTTTATTTTGGACAAAATGTGTTTTTATATAAGCCTATACATCAATCGGCAAAACAATGCACTAATTAAGTAATATTTATTACCAATTTTCATACACGCCTGGGTCCTGGTTCGAACTTTTACTGGAAGAAATCTCTTATTAGCGAAGGTCTTCCTGTACCTGGTTTGTATTTCGTAACGAGATTTTGAATAAATATTGTCAATACTATTTTCATTGTGTTTAAATCGTTTTTTGTGTCCAATAATAAGTGGCTTCGTGGCTTAGTGGCGTATATGCCGAAGGTTTTTCTTGTGATTTGAATGCATAAGAGGTACTCGTCTCTTAAAAACAAGTAATCCAAAGGCTCGTAAGACTTACATAAAATAAATGTACGTATTGCAGATAACCTGGTAAATAAAATATATTCAAGATTAATTTATATAATTATACTTACAATAAAAAAAGGCACTATGACGGTGACAGCTGCAACCAGCGAGATGGACATTGTATCTCCCGTGTGCGGGAAAGAGAGATCTGGATCGTTGCATCGGAAACCACTTTGCCGACTCGGCAGCGCCCCCACCTCCAGAAGTATGCATACTGCTGCCACTATGAACAAATATTTTAAATTAAAATTGATATTGGGTCCAAAATAAATGGAGTAGTTTTTTTTGAGGTTATACAAAGGTCATCTACAAAGATACTACTTGATTTTGATGAAATTTGGTCAAAATTAACTATTATCGTTCCTTTACCAACTTCCGGAATCCATATTCAGTCAAGTTCTCATATTTTAGAACCTGTTGCAACTTGAGTCATGAAGCTTCACCGGCCTTAACACGCTCAGTTAGGGGTTCTTGATATAGAGGGCGCACCAAATGGTAAAGAAATGACTTATGGTCTAAGATCCCGATATACATCGACCTTCACCGAGATGCTTATTTAATGAAACGTATTTTATATTTAATTTAATATGTCAATAAATATAATCCATATGGGTTGCCTAGCATCTCGGTGCAGGTCGTTGTATATCGGGATTTTATACTATTATGATTATTGATTGGTTACGAGACGGATTTTGACTGAATATAGATTCCGGATGTTGTAGGAAGATAAGAAGTATGTTTTATTTTAAGGTAAAACTCTTTTTAATACCCGTAAAAACTTCTTTAACATAAACGCGAATTTAATTCATCTAATATTAAGCAGAAATGTTTGTTTGTAGAATGCGCAAATCTCAGGAAAGGATACAATTATATTTTTTAGAACTTGCTTATGACCAACATAAACCTTATTAAGAATATTTGATTGTATCGAATATAAAGCTATATTTTATTCCTCGTATTCTTTTGTGTGTTCTTCTTTAATTAAATGCATGTATTCGAGTTCCTTTTGTTAATTATCAAGAAAAATGTCGCTTTAGTCACTCGAGGCCGGACAAACTCTTTTAATGTATGAGGAATGGTGCTCCCATAGTTACTAATATACATTCTAAAACTCTTAATTAGTATATTTAATTTGCTTTAGAACCAGGGCATTCTTAACCTACATATAGTTGAACAGCTGGTGATTTAAATAACACAAAATGTTCTATAGCCATTTATTTTGAATTAATTTAATGTGTAAACGAACCATCGCTTGAAGTAAAATCAGGATTTTATCACTAATCACACACTTCTCTTCATATGTATTATGATTTAGGAATTTGGATAGTATAATTTGTTAATTAATCTATGGATTTAATAAAAATATTATTCAACACAACAACCTTATAATAAAAAACGACTATTGTATGTATTGTATTATTGTTTAGTAATACTACTTTTATTACTAATCTACAGTCATGTATCATAACTCCTAAGGCATATTTTCGGATTGCAATATTTTATTGTCACATAACATTAATTAATCTTTTATAAATTAACCATAAACTAAATTTTATTTTAAATATTTTAGATCTTCATGCTAAGATATATACCTGCACATCATATTATGGTACTTATACCTTGTCTCTTGTTTAAAACCACGCCATAATCGTTTACTCTTTAAATAAATTCAGAATAAATGGCCTGTAGACTATTTCTACCGTCTATTTTTTAATCACGTTTATTATTTACTTTGTATTTTTAGAAAACGTCAAAGAAATTTTGCCTTATATAAATTACTATCTATATATAATTTACTATCTATCAACTGCACTTACAGTTATAACCAACTTTTTAATTAAGTTATAACGATTACTTAACCCTATTAAATAATGATTCGGAAGTTAAAATGGTCTTGTCGTTAGTTAATCGGAAATTACATTTCTTTCTCTACTTTAAATTAGTATAATTAGTTAGTACGATTGCTAATATATCTTTTACATTCGCATTTTAACAAAGAAAACAGTAATGTCTTGCCTGCTTTGTCATGTAAATTTGAGAAACTGATAACCGTAAAATCTTCTATACTTCATATTAGTTTAATTATTGTCATAGACAAAAGTGTCATTTAAGAGAATAGTTTCGTTGCCTTTGTAAAAGATTTCTAAAATATCTCGAACGATACGGATTTTCTTCGGTATGCGAGATGATTTAAATAAAACTTTATTAGTAACGATTTACGTAACGCGTCTATAAAAAAATGTCTAATTGCACCATTTAAACAGTGTTATGCAGTGTGGCTCATCTGTCTGCTTTCATCACAGTGTAAACACAACTCGACAGAGGGAGAGGATAGCATAAACAGTATTAGGTATTTTGATTAAAGGGAATACAATGTACAACATTTTTATCGGTATGAAAACTAGAACCACACAATCTATTAATTATGAATTTAAGTTTGTATTCAATTATTTCTGTCATACTCATGGTAGAATTGGCTTAACGTTCTCTATAAAATGTAAGTTAGTTGTTTATGGCTACGGAATGGCTCACGCGATTTTATATTAAATTTTATTAGATTGAAATCTTGAAAACGTGACTTTGACTCGGAAGTTAAAACATAATAAACATGAAATGGGAGTAATATTGTCCTATTTTTATGATAAATTATGCGAATGGAGGAATCCCGCAATTTTGGAAAGACGCGACCTTGGCACTTTAGTTAACCTATGGCAAATTTAAACTTTTGTTTTGCGTGCTAAGAAAAGTATTATATATACAATTTGTTAACATGTATTATGTATATATAATTATGTTCCTAGCTGTTAACTACGTTAGATTGAAAAGCAAAATTTCCACCTGAATCTTCAAGGTTAAAAATAATTGCATACGGTTCAACTTTCTCTTTAATTTGTGAAGAAATAATTAATTTGAAATATCAACTTACCTAGATGCATTTGATTACTATTTTAATTAAAATATTATATAATGTGTGAGCAGTTTTAGACATAATTACTAGCTAGAAGTATTAAGATATATTTCATTACCATTAATTAAAACGGTAAAAAAATTACGGATCTATAAATCTACGTGAACGGTATATTATGATTTAAAGGTGACTTAATATTATACATCTATGACAAATAGACTCATGTTACGAAATAATGAGCCAAGAAAATATAAGATATATACAGTTATTAAAAATCTTATGAGGTGGTAACTTTGGTTTGATTGTTGACAGTTGCAGTCCATTTATTTATATTGGTGATAATGGTGTTTTTCTCTTATCACCAGAAAACGGTATACTTTAAACATCCGTGGTACTTAAAAATATATTTTATTCACCATCGAAATTCCTTTTAAAATTTGCTACGAGTAAATTGTCAAAGTCATAAATGGTAGAGCGCGTGTCATGCGCTGTGCGGTATAATATAGGCGTAAGTAGAATGTGTTGCTAGGCGCCATATATATCGTAAAATGTGCTTACCTTACAATATAGATTGCACATAGGATTGAATTCGTTCTTAACTATAATCTAAAATGTTTCTAGGTAGTTTCCGACTGTTTATAAAGCAATGTTTGAACTAATTAAACGGTAATTTTATCGGTTGTTGCTCATAATTTTAAATCGTACATTGGAAGAATTTATGTCGAAATATCGAAAGTCGGTTTATCCAGTATGAGTAAGCAGGATTTTGAGAAAAGTAAAAGGACGTTCCTTTAGCCTTGAAATATTTGAAATCCCACAAAATCTCTTTTGCCAGCTTAAGGTGAAATTTTTATTATTTAACACATTTATTGCTTTATATTTGGCCAATGTATATTTATGAGTTATTCGTAAAATTAAGCAAAATTATTCAACAAATATAGCACTAACACGAGAAATGGGTGGGTCCGGAAATGTTTGTTGAAACTGCATCCACGCGTTAACGAACCTGTCTTTTATTTGCTGAAAGATAAAACGTTTTGTATTGATTTCAATGTTTGACTTATTCGACGGCCGAGACAATATTGGTAATGTAAACAGTTTTTGACTTGACGCGCTATCGATTAACTTAAAGGCCGCAGACGATTTTTGTATTTCTATATTTCCTAATATTGAATACCGACACCTCGCATAGATGATAAAGATCTTAATTACAGATTAAAACGCATTTATTTACCACAGATTCACAATTATTTTGAGTGAATACTGACTGTACTGATGATTGAAATGCTAAACGTCAGGCATGGTTTAAGTTATACTAATACTCCTTATTTTCTTTGTAATGTGTTTTAAATGTCTTATATAGAAGCACGTAAAAGATAATATAATATTTATAGGATATATACATGTATATTATTAAATATGCGTGTTTAATCGGGGGGTTTTATTCTGAAACAATTATTGTTTAGGGATGGAATAAGGCTGTTCGCATTGTCGTAAATGTACTGTTTAGGTATAATTCATATTTTAATCTCGCCCATCCCTGAGGTTTGAACCCCGGCCGTGCACCAATTAACAGATACCGACAAACATCTTGAACAAATGTCCTTGCCTGCGCAGAAGCGATTTTTAGGTATCACTGAGGGGGGGAGAGAGACGTGTCGATCGCGTGATTGACGAGTACATCAGTTGTTCCGCGATGCGCAAACTTTCCCCCACTCCCTTGTCTAATGCTCAAGAAGTTTGCCGGTATCTGTACTTTCTGACTATTTGCGCTTAGACCAAAAACGTCGACGACATCAGGCACAGAAGGTGCATTTGCTTATCTAACAGAAAAAAAACAAATGATCATGAAACAGAAATCTGTTTTTTTAATCAAGTCTTAAACGCAACTGAAGTCCTAAAAGAAATAACCTAGCCACAAGAATGTATAATCATTCCGTTAACGTGCTCTTTACCTACATAATTTAAAGCCTTTTCACAACCTTTATCGGGAAAAGAAATAAAGCATGATGTGAATAATCCAAGAAGAATGCAAATCGATATTTATAGTTGCAATTAAAATACTTCGAAGCCGAGTCATCTTCAATGTTCGAAATCGGACCATTTAAAGAATTCAGATCAAAAATTTCATATGTTTTACTGAATATAATTTTCTTAATTACTTTATTCGAGAAAACGGTGGAAGCATTCGGATGTCAAAACATTTTGGGTCGTAGAGCAAAATAAAATTATCATTTACTAATGAATTATTTAAGTAAATACCGAGTAACATAATGTCTTATAACAGATTAAACCCGAGTCATGACAATACAACG